AAACTTGATTTTCCAAAGATGCTTGCCTATTTTGTGCTTTCTTCGTAGAAGCACAAGGATCCAACTACTTGCTGGACATATGTTGACTCTTCTAAGGGAAACACATGCCTTGGAGGAAGCCGTTTGAATCTGCTCAAAATTAGTAATAAGAAACAATGGTAATAATCTATTTTCTAATGCAAAGATTACATCTTACAACATACATATTCCAAGCCCTTTACACAAGCAAAATACAAACAGCACTCTTTATAGCAGCAATACAGCAGTGCCCACACCCTTGGACGAAGAAACCATCAGGCTACGATCTTTAAACACAACACAGATCTCATCAATGCGCCTAGGTCAACTAACTGCTGTGCTATTAACCTGTTCTTTCCTGTGATAAATGTTGACTGCTTACAACTAAATACGCCAAAAATCTTTTTCACCATTACCCTTTAAAGGGGTCGGCCTGATATAGAAAGATGGTTAAGCATCTGTTGAAAATATTCTAAACCCAGCAATTGAGGGGAAACGGTACTGGGTATGCTAACATATCGTGGTCCCATCACACCATCCAGCGTTACCGCTTCCTATGAGGAAAACTGCCATACAAGCGCGTCCGCTGTCAAACCGCTATATAAAAACGAGAGATAACAGAAAGATAGCAAATGGTTTTCCCAGGGGTTCACACACAATAAAATATGAAAGAATGATAAAAAGGGTATTAGTCTAACCAAACAACCGTACTTTAGAAACTTTTTAATTCGTTCACAAAAAACTTCTTTCCAACCAAAATCAGAAAAAGTTAACGTTAGAACCCATAAATCTTTAGCTTCCCCCGACATACAAACTATCCTAATCATAGAGTCATAGTTTACGTTTGCCACCGCACCTCAACAGAAAAGTTCCTCGCGGTCTTGTCCATCTGTCTTATAAAAAAACAGATGCAACTTTCTGCCAATATTTTCAATAACAAACACAGCTACTAAAAAATAGCAGAGAAAATTACAGTCATGATCACAAGCCTTTGTATCTATACACAATGACACACAAGATCAATGAGTCCAAAACGGATCAACCAGTACATATATCTTTAAAAAGGTATAATACAAATAATCTCAGACAAATAACAGAAGATGCTTCTCCACAAAACAAATCAATATGCTTAACAATTAAAAGACAGATTTGTTGTGATCTTACAACAAAAAAGTTTACTGCTCATCCTGCTCTCTCCCTCTACCGAGTCAAAAGACTAAAGAGTTCCAAAGGATAGTACCTCCCTTGAAATACTAATAATATCACTAAATCTATACTAATAAATACGTGAATAATAAAAAATTTTACCATAAGTGCGTACAAGTGTGTCGCTTTTCCCATGTTCATAACCCCTATCTTCTTTCTTACTATACAAGCTACTTGACAATGAGGCGGCTAAACAAGTGCTCACCACCTGTAGTTCCCAGCAACATTCACGGAGGCCGACACGGGGCTGAATACTATATTCACGCTCAGAGTTCAATAAAACAAGGCTACAACATGGGAACCAACCCTGGTCTCTACAAAAACAAAATCGTTACGTCAAAGACAAAAATCCTGTGCCTGGTTTCCCCCAGAGCATTAGCAAGAGGAACAAATGAGGCGGGAGGTCACCTTGAGCCAAAGAGCACAGTGAGCCTCCCTTATGACAAAGTACGACCCATGACTGGCCCCACCTGCACTCCAGACCTACGGTCGAACAGAGTAAAGACCCTATCTCAAAATAAAATAAAAATACAAACCTGAGGCAAGCATAATACAAACAAAAAACAAAACAATTGTTTGTTGTTTTTAATAGTAAAATAGAGGCATGTATCTGTAGTCACGGCTATTTGGGAAGCTGAGGTGGGACGTTCATTTCAGCCTGGCAAGTCAAGGCTGCAGTGTACAAAAATCAAGCCACTGCACTCCAGCCTGGGTAACAGAGTGAGACTCTACCTCAATTTAAAAAAAAAAAAAAAGAGAGGAAAAAAAAAGGTTTGACGGGCTAGTTCCTAAACCAAATCCACAATTTCCCCAGCAAGCTCCCACGAGCTCTCCAATTTAGAGGAAACTACTTTCAGGGTCCTATAAAATAAATCACTCTGTATTCAATACTCTCAGAAAATAATGTTTAAGTCTAAATGTGCCCTGCCCACAATATTTTTTCTTTTATAACAAGAATGTACTTAATATTACGGAGCCATGTCACAGAAAAACACAGGGTACATTTCTTCTAAGGGGGACATAACACCAAGTTTTGAGACTATTTAGGAAATAGTATGACATTGAAATTAAATACAAAATCCAGTGAAAAGAATAGAATGTTACTGACCCCTCTCCCAAAAAAGTTGTTATAGGCTTATAGATTTTGAAGTAGAAAAAATCTGCAGTTTTTCAAGATTCTCCTGCAAAAGTTCCTTCAAATTATTTTCTTCTAAGAGCTAAAAAAACATTTTTTCCAAGATGCTTCCAGCTCTAAAAACAACCTTTCTGATCTCTTGAAAAGCGACACTCAACTTTTAATAGCTCCATATACTTTTTAGTTTAAAAGAAAAAAGTAAAAGAGAGGGAACCATAGTCAAACACTAAGTTTACTCCACCCATGCCTTAAGTTATATATAATGACAAGAAGGGTTCAATTTTTTTTTCCTTTTAAGGTAGAATATATATATCTATGTTGCACACATAATCTTTAGGTATAAGGAGGAAAGTATCCTTTCTAAAAAAACAAAACCCAGGCCAAAAAAAAAAAAAAAAAAGAAAAGTTTATCTGAAGACACAATCGTGAACTCATTTCTCATGAAATCAGAATGGCTCATAAGTTAGTAACACCATGATAGGCTGCATTAATACTAAGACAAGACAAACGGTTAAAGCCAGGTATAAATAATATAAGGCAGTCAAAAATCTAGGTAAGTCAAAAAAAGTTTATTAGTCTATTGATTTCTTTTTACATTTCTATAGAAGTTCATTTTAATCTTCCCATATGAAATAGACAAAATCTGTAGAATTACTATGATTTTTAATAAATTTTTAAGTGTTTATTTTACTGCAAAATTCACTGTGATTAGTCCCTTAAATAACTTGTAATATTTCAAATAGCATATGCCTGGAATAGTTCACATTTTATTATTTTAGAGTTGTCAAGACACAGTCTAATTCTAATAGGAAAATATCTGCTGGCTTCAAACAGCACTTAAACACAAAGAAGGAAAGTTGGAAGTCAAGAAGAATCATTCTGAGATAAAGGCTGAGTAGAGCACAAGATGAGAAGTCAACTAGAGACCTTATCAGGATGCAGTGCTGCACTTTGCTGCATTATCACTGACTGTAACCTCTTTTCCAGCTCACAGGCAACCCTCTACTTCTCTGGGACTAAGTGGTTGCTTTAAAAAGTTCTTGTGTCATATTTACGTTTTCCTACGACCCTTATCAGAAGCATGATGTACTCAAGTTCCATAATTTGCACACTCTAATTACCCACCCAACTACACAACCCAAAAGAGATAATCAGAAATGTAAAATGCCAAATTCTTAAGAAAAAAAATGAGGCCGATTAGGATGTAAAATGGACCAGTTGATTGTTAAGGGCATAGACTTAGGTAAATAGCATCAACACCATACTCCTGATAACCATAAAAGGAGTAAAATAGAGTTACTTTTCCAAACAACTTCTTTAATAGTTTTATAATAAGTTCCTAATTTTAAAATAAGATGTGTTACAAAAGCCCATTTCTTCATGAAACTGTATTTCCCCCATAGAATACTCTAAGTGGCATTTCATTTCCAAAGCTGGCCCAATACCCACTTTTCTACTGACATACATACAACAAGGAATGAAACATAGTAAAAGTACTTGCAATGCTTCAAACACATATTCATAATTCAGGTAAAAGGGCAGCAGCCTAGCAAAACAGAACTCAAAAAATAAGGTTCACATCACCCAGAATAGTCACACAATTATATATATGGGCAACTTTCTCATAAGAGGAACAATAGCTTTTCTTAGGTTCTCAAAGTGGTTGTTCATGTATCCAATAAAGAAAACTATGCCACAAAAAAACCACCTCCTTCCTACAAAGCCCTCAGGTAGAGTTTATCAGTGATATAAGACATCTTGGCGGGTTATGGTCTACAAATGCATATAGAAAATAACTTCATAAATAGAAAACTGTGCAAAAACCTTCCAGAGAAACTGGAAGTGAAGTGAAGATGATCCTGGAGAAAAGAACACATTTCAAAATAGACAGGGTGTGAAGTGCCCACATAATATAATACGTAAGTTCACGTGAAGTAGGAGCTGATGATCCCAGTGACACTCATTGTCAAATAGATTTTGACCAATCAATAGTGTTTGTACAGCTGACCCAGCTTCAGAAGCAAACATTCCAAATGTTTATGTTTGCAAGAGGTACCACTTAAAATTCTTTCCCATACTAGTCAAATCACAAGGGCAAAAATTTACAACACTTTTGCTACCATTACTTTAAAAAGGAAAATCCATCTTTTATCGACACAAAATTCAAACAAACAAAAATGCGTATTTAAATGACTCAAACATGTAATATGAGTGAAGATACTTTTTCTATTAATTGTGATCAAGAAAATTTGGATTTCTTTTTATATAATTTTTAATGTGACTTTCAACTTAACCCAAAAGTTTCTATAACTGATACAACACAGTTCAGATATTATTCTTTTCTTAAATGAGGAGAGTTTATTGCTTATTTGTTTTGGCATTTTGTCATAATTAAATTTGAGCTGCATAGATTTTAAGACTGTTTTAATACATAGTGTAATTTCAAACTTATACCTATCTAAAATACTATTGTCTACCTCTTCATCTGAACACATGAATCCACAGCTAAGCCATCAAGTTACATCATCTCTTTTTACCTCTCCCAAAACCTTATTATACTTTTTAACACATCAGGAACTAGTTTTTTTTGTTTTGTTTTGTTTTTTAATAGGAATGCTTTTCACAAGAGAGTGCCACTTACCCCTCCTGCCTTCAGCAACTTTCTCCTAAAGTCCTCTGTGGGGTTGTTGAAAGTTAGCTTTTCACAGCGGAGGTGATTCACTGGTGGATGGCCTTCAAGATGCAGGAATAAGTCATAATCAAAGCGGACTTTCCTAGGTTCTTCCTGGAGGTTAACAAAATTTATGAAAGACAAAAGAGAGGCATAAGTGAAATTTTAAAAGCAAAATTTACTCCTCATAAGAAATAGAAAAGACCTAAGACATCTAACAGCTAAACTGTCAAAGCAGTACTGGGGGAAAAAAAGTATCATGGAATCATCAATGAAACAAAATGGAAATATCTGACAAATTAGTTTCTTTTGTTAGGGGAAACGAAATGAGAAAAACTTCTCATCTTCCCCATGATCTTTTAGGTGACAGGATACCAGCAACACAGCCACCCAACTAGAAACCAAGCACATTCCTTCCTCTTCCCTACCCCACTACACTCACCATCAAAGGCTGCCATTTTCTCCATAAATATTTCTTCAAACAAGCCCTCTAACTCCTCCTACTAGGCTCTTACTCATGGCCCAAACTACTATAAACTCTTTACTTTAGGATATATTCTCTTCAATTCCACCTCCATTCAGGCCTTAAGATTATCTACATGAAACAAAAATCTAGCCATTTTCACTTCCTAATTAAAATTTCAACAGTTTCCAATGGCCATTAGGCTAAAAACCCTAATCTCACCTGAATGCCACATAAGGGCCTTCATAATCTGGCTCTTGGCTTCATATCCTACCATTCCCCTTCTCTCCATCTGATGGCCTAGCAATATCCCACTGCTGGTTGCTTCCCAGTACCTACCATGTTGTAGGTTACCTCTGGTTTCATTCTTGCTTTGCATTACTACCTTCACTGCCTACCTCCATTTCTCTACCTACTGCTTTACCTACGTAACTTCTCATCCTTCCCAACTTATGATTTCACTTTTGGAAAACCTTCCCTTAACTCTCAGCTCCCCACTGCCTCTCCTCTACCCTGTATGCATCTTTCTCTTACCCTTGCCACATCTTAGAATAATTGACTTCTTATTATCACCATTTACTCTGCTGGATCAGAAGATTGTTGAAAGTAGGAACAATGTTTGAATCATCATTGTATCCTCAAAAACTAGTTTATGACTATACACAGTAGAAATGCAGTAAGTATCTGTGAGATTAATAAGAATGGCATTTTTCTGAATAAATAACTAGGACAAAATAGCATCTTATGCAAAAGAACACAATAATTAGAATTTCATGATACCTAGGTTCAACTCTCAAGCCATTACTTAAGTTGACTGAACATTTATCCCTCTCTACACATTGATCTTTAGCCACGCAAGGTGTAAATACAGACTCAAGATAATAATGACAACTAATACGTACTTTAATATTCATCTCATTTAATTCTCACTGCTCTCTTTGGGGCAGATGTGAGCCTTGTTTTATTGTTATATTACTAATACATGATGAAACAAAAATGATTTGAATCCATTTCTTTTGACTCAAGGGTCTTAGCACCTGAAACTGTCAGAATATAAGAATTAACTACTCAAAATTCATGGTTTCCACTTCCTCATCCAAACTTCCCAAATCATAATCTCTACTCATTTCTTCAGTACTCCTTCACTTCCACTACAATTGGACATGAAACCTACTTTTTCTCTCTCTTATCAGGATGCCATTCTCTCCTGGTTTTCCTCAAAGTTTACTGGCTGTTCCTTCTCAATATTCTTCATGGACTTTCTTCTCTTTCTTCATTGACCCTTAAATGTGCTTTACCTTTCTGCAAAGTTTCCCAAGGAAATGACACCTATTCACAAGGAGTCAGTTCCGCCTGTGTGACAGTGACTCCCCTAAGTGTATCTCCAGCCCAGTTCTCATTGGCTGCCACATACATGTGTTCCACAGGTTGACTTATGGCAGCATCCAATTCATGCATATGTGTCTTTTGTCCTATCCTCTATTATCTTGGAAAACAGCAATTCTAACTGCTTGCCAAGGTTAAAATACACAAAAACCATTCCCAACTGTTCCTTCTTCCTCACTCACTACAGTCAAATTTTCTCTAAGTTCTATTTAGCATTCGTCCTTATGAACTTTCAAATCCACCTATCCTTTCCTCTAAGGCATAAATATTGTCCTAGCTTAGACCACCACCATTCTTCATTTGATGTCCTCCCTTGAACTTACCTCATTCTACTTCCCACAATGACCAGAGAATGAGCTTTGTAACACAAAAACCAGATTACAGCTTTCCACTGATATAAAAGCCTTTAATGGTTCATCATTTTCTGCAATAAAATCCCACTTCCTTGGAATAACCATTGCAGTCTCTTACTACCTTTCCTACATTTCTTTTGATATCTTACTATACTGTTTTCCCACACCTTTGAAGCATCTGCAGTTCCCCAATACTTCACATTAATTCATTCATTTGGCCTTTCACAAGTAGTGCTCCTCAAACCTAAAATGTCCTCCCTCCCAGCATAGCTCCCCTCCTATTGCCTAGTTAATGCAAACTCATTATTCAAGACCCAGCTAAAGCATTAATTCCTCTGGAAAGTCCTTCTCACTCTCCCAATATAAGCTAAATTAGACGTCCTTCATAGCATTCCTCTATTAAAGTAATTATCACATTTACTTATGATCATTTTTTATTTATCTGTCTCTCCTCCAAGTTGTAAAACAGAAGATGCAACTTTAGAGTTAATTTTAAAAGGAGAGCGTAACTGGGAGCATAAACTAGTAAAGCCTTTTTGGTAGACATCTTGACAATATCTGTCAACGTACTAAATACATATGATGTTTGACCCAGTAATTCTACCTCTAAGAATCTCTTCCATAGAAATATTCAAATATAGGTACAACAATATACTCTAAAATGTTCATGGTAGCATTGCTTATAATAACAAGAAACTAAGAATTATCTTCATCATTACCATATAACACCATTCAGGTGTTGAAAAATACTGACTTTGAAAGGTATATTGGACTCGGGAAGGGGAACATCACACACTGGGGCCTATCATGGGGAGGGGGGAGGGGGGAAGGATTGCACTGGGAATTATACCTGATGTAAATGACGAGTTGATGGGTGCTGACGAGTTGATGGGTGCAGCACACCAACATAGCACAAGTATACATATGTAACAAACCTGCATGTTATGCACATGTACCCTAGAACTTAAAGTATAATAATAATAATAAATAAATAAATAAAAAGGCATATTGCTAACTGAATTAAAGGCAAGTCACAAAAAAATATTAAATCATGCCCCTGCCAATCTATGCTGACACACATTTTATCTATGCAAATACATGGAGGGAAATCTGGGAAGACTGTACCAAATAGTTAACAATCATTAAATGTAGTCAAAGGACTAAAACTCCTAAGTTCTATTCCATATACTTTTACTAAGAAAATACATACTCCTGTACACTTTCTGAAAGAGAAAAACATTGAAGAATACATTAATTACCAGCATAAAAAGAATGAGGTAATATCAACTTCACTTTGTAGTCTACAACAGTCTAAAACAGAACAAAAACATCACTTTTCAATAAAACCAACGGTAAGCACCACAGAAAATGACTCTCCGAATCCTGAGTATGATTTTTTTTAAGATTTTTTTTTTAAGTAAGAAAAAGGTACTCATAAAATTGTGCTCTGGCCAACTGAATATCTTCTCTTAGAAGGCAGACATCGATATTATGTCAGTCTATGCTCCTCAGAAAACAGTCTTCTTCAAAGTTCAAATAAGAAAGCATGTGCTTACTCTCTGTATAAAAATAATACATTTCCTAGAGGTGGAAATCTGTTTTTGGCAATATCAAGTTACCCTCTCTCATTCTGCAGAAACTTCAGTCCTTGACATTTACTCTCTCTTTTATGAGATCATATTGAAAGAGAGAAGCATGGGATCCTTTCAAACATAAATCGATTATGTTTCAGTGTCCCTGTTGGTTTAGAGTTTCTGAAACACACAATTCTCACAAATAGGCTTGTTTTGTTGGACACAAATACAAAATAAGACAGAATTAACATATACAAACTCAAGAGACATACTGACACTCTACTACCCCCTTGACCCTGACAGCTCAAATAAATGAGCAGAATTGAAGACGAGCTCATTACAGAAGCAGGAAAAACACAAGGATGGGAATGTGACCAAGGACAGGGTATCTTTAATATGTAGAATTAAGACTCTTCCACCATTACCTGGAATTATTTTTTTTCTGCTTTCCCTCATTCCTATGAAAACTCTGAACAACACTTTTTCATGAACCATTTAATATGGTTTGGCTGTGCCCCCACCCAAATCTCATCTTGAATTGTGGTTCCCATAATCCCCATGTGTCTTGGGAGGCAATTAGATTATGGGGGTATTCTCTCATGCTGTTCTTATGATAGTGAGTGAGTTCTCACAAGATCTGATGGTTTTATAAGAGGCTTTTCCCCACTTTGCTCTGCATTTTTCTCTCCTGCTGCCTTGTAAAGAAGGACATGTTTGCTTCCCCTTATGCTAGGATTGTAAGTTTCTTGAGGCCTTCCCAGCCATGCAGAACTGTGAATCAATTAAACCTATTTCCTTTATAAATTACCCAGTCTCAGGTGTTCATAACAATGTAAGAAGGGACTAATATATCATTACTACAATGGATGTTTATTCTTCAAGACAGAGTTGAATAAACTCCAGGGATAAATAAAATAATAAATATACAAAATAAATAAATGAACACTCTGAAGCAAGAGCCTAGACCTATTAAATTTTTACCAATGGATCATTTCAGTAATACGAAAAATAAAAAATACATCCAGCTGGACCTTGGGGAATAAGCCAGATGCAGAAAGACGAGTACTGTCTGAGTCCATTTATATGAGATATCTAAAACAGATATTATGTAAGATTTTAAATTCATAAAATCAAAGACTGAAATGGAGGTTACCATGGGCTGGGGAGAGGGGAAAATGAATTGTCAATCAACAGGCATTAAGTTTCAATTAAGTAAGATGAATAAGCTCTAGAGATCTGCTGTACGTTGTAACTATAGTCAACAATACGGTATTGTACACTTAATACACTTAAAATTTAAGAAGTTAGATCTCACATTAGGTGCTCTTACAAGTTAAAATTAGAAAAAATAAAGAAACAAATATATCTAGCTCAGAGATCTAGATCAGACTATAGTAAACATTTAGTTTCTAAGACATCCTAAGAAAACAACACAGTGGCAAAGCAGTAATTCCTTTCTTAACTAAGAAATTAGTAACATATAGAAAAGTACTTAAAATGCTATATCCATGTGCCCTCTACTGAGATTAAACAGATAACACTTCCAGAGATTTGCTTTATCTTTTTCTTCAAAGAAATAAAATTTGGCCAGTCGGGGTGGCTCACACCTGTAATCCTAGCACTTTGGGAGGCAGAGGTGGGCAGATCGCTTGAGCTCAGGAGCTCGAAACTAGCCTGGGCAACATGGTAAAACTCTGTCTCTACAAACAATACAAAAATTAGCTGGGTGTAGTGGTGCATGCCTGTGGTCCCAGCTACTTGGGAAGCTGAGGTAGAAGGATCACTTGATCTCAGGAAGCAGAGGTTGCAGTGAGCTGAGATTGCACCACTGCACTCCAGTCTGGGTGACAGAGTGAAACCCCATCAAAACAAAACAAAACAAAAGAACTTCATATGTGTAAACTTCTCCATTCCTCTCCTCCAGTAACTAATGCCCTTAAGTTCCTGTGTTGTCATTCCAGCATATGCTCTTATACTAAATACATACCTCTCCAGAACACCATTATTCATTTTAGTAATTTCTTTAAAAAATACACAAATGATATAACCATGTACATATATTTCTGCAACTTGTAAGTTATCATTTTTTGAGACTTACTCATGTTGCCACACTAAATACTGTACAGAAGTCTAAGGATTACTTAATTACCATTTATTGATCCTCATCTCTACATAGGGCCAATTAGGTGTATCCTACTTTTCCATATTACAAACACTGAAATATATATGTATTATTGTGTACATGTGAAAACAGAAATCATTATAAAGTATGAAATTTTAAAGAAAGCCTAAAACTAGAAAATAGAAATAAGCTAATCTATATACTAAAGAGAAAATCTACAATGTTCCACCTGTGTCTATTTTACAATGGCCACAAAGGAAGAGCTGTTTTTCATCTCATATGCTGCTTTCTTCCCTTATATTTTAAGAAAATAAAATCCCCCACAAAGTGAATATATGTCTTACAGTCATAATGACTACCCAATGTGCCTTCATTATATCTTGCTTTTACTCTGTTCCATGAATTTCAAGAAGACTGAATGTGTCTGTGTGTGCGCGCGTGCACATGCGCGTGCGTGTGTGTGTGTGCGCGCGTGGTAAGGAGTGATACTTGCTGCCTCTTCATCCTTTACTTGTTCTCTTCTTAAATCTGGCATATGGGGAAATTCCAGTTATTTTTGTAAAGCAGGAAACTGAGCAATTCATAAAATAGATTCCTCTGCTTAACTCAGAGCTTGTACAAATGACCAGAAACGTTAAAAACAAGAAAAGAGAGAAGATACTTCACTGCATCATTATTTCCAAACTGAGGTCAATGCAATGTCAAACTAACTTTGCTGGTGGGAAGGCAGTGGTATAATCATAACCATTATTGTCTTCTCATAACAGATCATAATTGCCTATTCTTTAATTTCTTTGAGATAAGAACTTTGCTGGCTTGAAGGGCTAGACTGTTCCTATAATGTAGCCCAATCTCTAGATGAAATACAACACTGGATATGAGGATGTGACAAGAGGGAAGAAAAGCACCATATGATCTTCATCACTTAAACTTCTAAGATATTAAAAGGGTAGTGGGAAAGATGGGAGATAGAGACAGGCTCTAAATTTCTTCCCATAAACATACCACTTAAATTAAAATTACACTGAAAAATGAGCAAAGGATATGAATAGTCACTTCTCAAAAAAAAAATACAAATGAACAATGAGCATATGAAAAGATGTTCGAACTTGTAAGTCATCAAAGAAATGCATATAAAACCAAAATGAGGTGTACTTCACATCTACTAGGATGACTATAATATACAATAACAAGTAACAAGTATTGGAGAAATTGGTGGTGAAGGAAAAAGAGAAGAAATAAAAGAAAGAAACAAAAATAAAGAAACAAATATATCTATTTGTTTTCTTAAGGGAAACAGAATTTGAAATGAGAAAAATGAGCACTTCAATATGAAGGCATATCACATGAGCAGATATAAATACATCTCAACAATTTGATTTGATGACAAATATGTGAACGATTCAGTGGTATCACCACTAAGAAAGATAATTATTATTCTAGCAAAGAGTTATTGCTAGATAGCACAGAAGTTAGGAGTATAGCCAAAGGAGAGAAAGACCTAGATCATGAATCTGGTTTTAACACTTTCTAACTGCTGAACTGAGCACTGAGACTGCTATTAAGTTGAAAAAGCCAGTGTGACACTGTTCCAGTGGAAGGGACTGCACATTAAAGAGTGGCTTATCAGTGGTTCTCTTACTAAGCATCAGAAGGACTAGTAAATATGCAGATTCCTAGGCCCTACCTCCAGAGATTCTGATTTGATAGATCTGGGTTGAATTTGAGAATCTCACTTCTAACCCGTTCTTAGGGTAATGCTAATGCTATCCCAAGGACCATATTTTACTGAGCACTGGTTTGGATAACATGATATTCTATTTGCTCAGTTCCTTAAAAGAAAAAAAAAAGCCAATTACCTGACTTTTCAACAGGTTTTAGAAATTATGATATCTCTGGAGGAAAAATAAGGAATATATAATCAGCATTTTAAGTGCTTATCTATAAGGTACTATTCTAAATACTTCGCAGAAGTTTATTTTATCTAATCCTACTAACCACCTTTTGAGGTAAGTATTCTTATCTCCTCATTTCATAAATAAGGAAAGTAAGCTCCACAGAGGTTGAGCAATTTGTCTGGCATTATACAATCTGTGTGTTATGCCACATATGTAGTGCTGAAAACTTTTTTTTTTTTTTGAGATGGAGCCTCACTCTGTCACCCAGGCTGGGTACAGTGGTGTGATCTCGGCTCACTGCCATCTCCGCCTCCCGGGTTCAAGTGATTCTCTTGCCTCAGCCCCCTGTGTAGCTGGAATTACAGGTGTCCACCACCACACCCAGCTAATTTTTGTATTTTTAGTAGAGACGAGGTTTCACCATGTTGGCCAGGCTGGTCTCGAACTCCTGACCTCAAGTGATCTGCCTGCCTCGGCCTCCCAAAGTGCTGGGATTACAGGTGTGAGCTACTGCGCCTGGCCTGAAAACTTTTAAATTCAGTAAAATCCATATATCTGAAGTTGAAATAACTATATACATGTATGGTGTGGGTATCAGCTAAAGATAAAATGAGATTATTCTTTGCAAGCCTCAAAAAAATTCTACAGATATGAAAATGAGAAAAGAAGCATTTTACTGAAAAACTATAATTCTTCTTTTCTATTTTACAAACATATTTATCTTTTCCATATGGTAATCACTCCTCTCTTTAAAGGAACACTTAATGAATTTCATATAATCTGACTTCATTTAATTAAAATTATCTTCTTCTAGCCACTTCCTTGATAATTAAGGGTAATGATAGCCAAAATTCCTAGAAGACAAATTTAACTTTTATTTTAATATCATCTAGTGACAGAAGTGCTTATGAGTCAAAATTATTTTAAACATCATTTGGCTAATGGTGGATCTTCTACTGAAAGATTAATGGGTAAAGATTACATACCTTGTTTTTAAAATAAACCTCAATTGGCAAAATGAAACCAGCATACCCAGATTCTTCTACTTTGTAAGGTGGATCTTTGCACACTGCAACATTAAGAAAGAAAATAGGTAAGATGAGAATAGACAAAAAGACATTCTTCTTTTTTAAAAAAAAAAAAAATCCCATTCTACCGTCTAGATCACACCCAATTTTCATAGCCCCTTGCCAAAACAAACCCCCAGTTGAGTCTCTGGTCTATCCTTTATTTCTTCTCCAGAGACTGTAACAATAATTTCTCTTATGTAAAGCAGATATGTAATTCATTTATTCAAATCTTGGTGGAGAATAGCTCATCACAGTCAACCATGATTATTAATGAGTGAACTTCACTTGTTATTACCCTGCCCTAAAGCTTTAGGGAAACTGATGATTGCTCCCTATAACCCAAAGTTTGAAAAGAACTGTAAGCTTCCTAACAAGAGTATTATCTATGTCTAGTCTTTGATGCAAATCACTCTCCACCTTAACTCCTGACTTGTCTGAGATGTCCTGACTTCTTTTTTATTTTTATTTATTTATTTATTTATTTTGTGAGACAGAGTTTCGCTCTTGTTGCCCAGGCTGGAGCGCAAAGGTGCAACCTCGGCTCACCGCAACCTGCCCCTCCCCGGTTCAAACGATTCTCCTGTCTCAGCCTCCCAAGTAGCTGGGATTACAGGCATGCGCCACCACACAAGCTAATTCTGTATTTTTAGTAGAGACGCGGTTTCTCCATATTGGTCAGGCTGGTCTCGAACTCCCAACCTCAGGTGATCCGTCTGCCTCGGCCTCCCAAAGTGTTAGGATTACAGGCATGAGCCACCGTGCCTGGCCTAGAGATGTTCTGACTTCTATGCCATCTGCTTTCCTTAGAAAATCCCAAAACCAGTGTTTTTCTATGACACATAACCTCCCTCCTTCACCCACCCAAAAGGAATGTTTACTGAAATACCAACATACATGTAAACACTTAAGATCTAATCACATCATAAGAATACAAAAGAAACAATAAGGCTTTTATTTCTCATGGAGTTAAAAGGAAGCAAGACTATTAGGCAAGCTCTTGGGGAATGAGAGACCCTAAGAAGCTAAATAGGATTTCATTCCACTAAACTTTCAATTAAATGAAAATCAATCACAAGCCAACTGAAACCATTCTAGTTAAGACTACATTTTGGTGGTATCATGAAGTAAACACGTACATGCCAAATACCAAGGCCACACACACTGATGCCCTGAGTCCTCTTTAGCAGCCCCAGCTTACCTGTCCCTTTGTCACCTACCAAAACCCCTCTGCTTCATTCCAATGCATTTCCCCCAAATGCGCCCAGCATTTCCCACCAGTGCCTAGTCCTCTTTCTGTCCCTTCTACCACACCTTGAAGCTACTCAGTATCCTCTGCAAATTCAAATTCTAATTTCTTCACAAGATCTTTCTAGACCACAAAGTATTACTATCTCTTTTCCTTTTATCCTCCCGAAAAGTTAACAGCCTGAATCAGTGCCTTGACACTGAACAGAGTTCCTTATGACCATATTTTGAAAGCTCTTTCTGCTAATTTCCTTTCACTTCTCAAGGACAGAAAGCACATTCACCTCAAGAAGACAGAGTGTCAAGGGCTCAGGTGACAGCAGCCCAGCATACTTGGGTGCCAATCCATGATCCTCCTCAGACTATGTGAGCTACCTCTGCAAAATTATTTCACCTCAAATCTCTGGGTTCCTCCTCTAGACAATGTGAAGACTAAACAGGGTGACTGTTACGGACTGAATGTTTGTATTCCTCTAAATCTCATAAATTGAAATCCTATCAGGAGGTAGGAATTTTGAAGGTGATTAGGTCATGAAGGTGGAAACCTCATGAATAGGATTAGCACCCAAGAGAGCTCTCTTGCCCCTTCCTCTATGTGAGGAGATGGTGAGAAGACAGCAGTCTGCAACTCTGAGGAGGGCCCCCACCAGAATCCTACCATTGTGGCACTCTGATCTGGGACTTTCAGTCTCCAGAACTGTGAGAAGTCCACTTGTGTTGTTTATAAGCCATCCAGTGGATGGTACTTTGTTAAAGCATCCTGAATGGATAAGCACAATGATGTGTGTATAAGATGCAGCACAGGACCTGGTGCACATAAGTTCTCAGTAAATGACTCAAGCCGGGCAGGAAATCTAACCCTAAAACACCCAATTGCTATGTAGCCTTTTGGATGAAAATAAATAGGATGCAGCAAGCAGAGAGCCCTAGATTTGGGTCAGAAGACTCAGGTCCACAGTCCTGGATTGAATATTCTCTAGACAGCCTACGTTTTTTCCCCCTTTAAAGAAGAGGAAACACCATCTACACAACTGAAGGCATGGCTGTCAACATGCCAGGAGACTGTATGTAAGGAAACAGAAGCGCGAGGCATTTTTATTACAGACATGATGTTGATAATGTACCTGGAAATTGGTTAGACATTCCACAAGCAAAAATATGGTTACAAAAAGGTAAACTGAAGCCCACCTTAGGAAAATTGTCCCAAACTGATATCAGAAGAAGTAAATCAAGAACGAGGCATCTCACATGACCTTGTAAGTTTCTCTAATAGAAAAATGAAAAAGTGAAAGGATCCAGAATGGCTTCAGTCTTGCATTCAGTGACCACCTGTCAACCCATCATGAATATTCAAATACTGTGAACATTGGGGGTTGGGGGAGAAAGGAGAGAGTCTCACTAAATGCACTGAGCAGCCCCCACCCCACTTTAGCAAGAAGGCTAGTGTTACACTCATGACATTTCCAGGCTGCAAACCCCCTTTTCAGAACAGCAATTTCAGTGTCCAGGTTGCTTGGGATTAATCATGCCAATGTCATTGGAAGGAAGTTTATTTTGTGGGCTGCTGCACATGCCAGAGAAGTTATAGCTGTTCCTCTATATACCCTTTTGTATAATTCATTTTCTCTATTCTGAATGCAAATTGCTCCTATTATCGGAAACAGCCGTTAGTGCGCACATCTTATCGTTGAATGTCTTTGGATTTTTTTCCCCAACCTTTAAAGAAAATGGTCTGCTATGCACTAATATTCCATAGAAGTGTGATTTTATAAGAAACTGTTTACCAATTCATATAATTATTTTTAAATGTAATAATTTCATCAACAATAATGAACAATGTCTGTAAAGCACTGAGTTCTTAATTAGAAGCAAACAATAGGAACTTTTTACACACAATAAACAGGCTAGAAAATCAGTAGCCATGTAAATAAAAACTTACAGTTCTAATCTGAAGAAAGTCAAATTAGGGGAAGTTATTAATTTGGGTATTTTATGATCAGAATGATGAGTTTCTTAGTTCAAAACAAGAAACAGAAGTTAAAACTTAGACACATTTTAGCCACTAGGGATAGTACATCAGATATAAAGCAATTCTTTTTAAAACTAGTAGAATCACGTTTGGGAGGGATCACCTTCTGTCACTTGCACACTTCTTCGTTGAGAGTCTCTTCTCTCACTGCATTAAGTTTATGATAGCTAAGCATTCTAAACCCTTAAATTAATTCTTCCTCTTGATTGTTCAAGAATCAGATCATCCTTAAGCTCTATGTCATAAAAGGCCAAGTTTCAGAAGCTACTGAAGGAATATTCACCTTTAAAAAGCCATTAAAATCTTTAGGTGACAATAAAATGGGATAATTAACATTTATTTTTTAAATTCTCATGTTCTATTATATGCATATGCGTTCTCACATATTAATTCAGGCAAAATTATTAAACACTTTTTTCATCTGTAAAAATCCAGTCCAGATGTTAGCTCTTTCAGAACATCTCCCTTGGCTCTCTTCCATGATCTTGTTGCAATGAACAGGTCAGTAGGTAAGTCACTTCCCTCTCAGACTCCTCCACTAGACAGACCCCCTCGAAGTCAGCAACCAAAATCATTATTCATCTCTGTAATGCCTGACACTACTGTTGAGCCAAATAATATGTACTTAACAAATGTCTGTTAAATTTAACTTTTAAAAGACTCATGCTACCCTTCGCTAATTTACCACTGCCAAAGCAGTTGTTTTTCCAATAGAAGTGGTGAGTTGACAGTAACTAATCAAACTCTTCTCCAGAACCCCTACAATCAACATAAACTTTTAAAACTTTTAAAAAATTGGTACAGGTGATAGAAAAGTGTTGCCACAGAGGAAATTTTTCTTGAGTACTGTGGAACTGGTCCTAGTTCTGAGAGTACCACATTTTAAGCAACTGAATTAATCAACTGGACCAGAAGATCGCTAAGGCCATTTTGAAACTAATATTCAAGAGCCATAAATAATGGCTCCCCTTCTCCTCTCTGTCCACACATTACTACCCATGTGCTCCAAGACTCTAATTGGGAGAGGCTTTCAAAACTCTCTCTGTCCAATTAATCCCATGTACCATGTAAGGTCTATTAGGATACTATAACGAAAATTCATGCCTGAGAGAAACAGACCAAAGTTTTTGTTTGTTTAAAAAGAAGTTTAATTGGGTTTAATTGCATTTTTCCCTGAAATGGCTTTTCAAAATAACAGACACAATATAGATTCAAATATATATTATGTAGTATGATGCTAACCATACATTAACCAATAACCTATTTAATTTTTAGTTGGAAAACATGTACACAAGGAAGAAAAACACATGGAAAGGGGGAAAAGAAAATGATATGGCAAATTTTCCATAAGTCAAAGTTAGAAATAAGTTAGCAATAAGTCAAATCCTTACTTATTAAAAGTCCTTACTGAAAATTTTAATATTCTCATTTAGAAGTAAAAGATTTGACAAAGAGCTATGCTTGGTACAGAGAAATAAATGCTCTGTAACTGAAAAAATATGTTTGTGCTTATATAATAAATTACTTATATATATTCAATAAATAAATGTAATTAATAGGAGCCATTTTTTTAGTACCAAAAGAAAAAACTCTGCCAACTGCATAAGACCCTCATTTAAACTTTAGAAATATTATTAGGCAACAGTTTTTTCCCAAAACCTCAGGAAAACAGCTGGTAGATTCCTCTCCAGAGCATTCCTTTAGTCTATTTGTTTTGATGCTATG